CCGACATATCCTACATCTTGCTAACTATGTTTGGTTTTAGAGGACAAAGTTTGTTTGTTTATTTGTTTGTTTGCACTGTTATATGCGTTTGTATTTACTTTCTATACATACCATATAAGGTTCATATGTACATATAATTGAAAATTCCACATTGTAAGGGAGGTAACTACACGTATGATATACACACAATCCATGGATTCTTGACATCGATTTCCCAACAGATCCTGTTATCGTTGTTGGACAAACTTTATCGTTTTCACAAAACTGATAAATGATATATGCATTTACTTGTTTTCAAAAGTCTTGAATACGGGTTTGTTTTTCTGACGTGCATGTATGTGTCGATTGATAGTCGAAACCGAAAGCACAGGAAGAATTGAAATTTTATGTGTACTCGTTCATATTAAATATATATATTGATAATGTGACATTTCTGTTACAAAACATCTAGATGCTCATCCGTGATCGGACTTACAAAATCTTCCTAATTTTTATTATTATTAAATTCGGGATACTGAAGAAAATAAATCAATTTGATCATGACTTTAGGCTTGTTATGATATGTCTTTGTTGTCATATCACCAAAACTAGGCAATATCACAATGACTCGGTGGAACTATTGGTCGATCACCTCCACACTAAAACATCGTGGGTAGAAGTGTACTCAACATCAACCAGCTTCACACGGATAAGTAGGTCATCCTCTCCACCACGTTGGTCATCTGAACATGAACATACTAGCCCTCCAAGTACTCATCCTGATCATTCACTGCGACCAGTTGAGGAAATGAGAGCTGGGTATGGGGGCGATAAACAGTACCGTGACCATCCTAGTACTCCTGGGCAACCAATGGAGGAACGGTGTGCTACCAGAGGTAGTCTCGTTCGAGCAAACGTATGTGAAGTCTAGTTCTCCTGGGCAACCGATTGAGGAACGAAGGGCTATTGATTAGGGTAGCCTCATTCGTGCCCATTCAGAGCAATCGTACGTACCTCCTGGTACTTCTAAGCAATCAGCTAAGGAATGTAGGATTGAAGATTGTAGCCTCGTTCGGGTTCGGCCAGGGAATCGTATGGGAAACCTAGTACTCCTGGGGAACCAGTTGAGGAACGGATGACTGTTGAGGGTAACCTCATTCAGTCCTAGTCAGGGCAATCGTATGTGCCTCCCGGTACCCCTAATCAACCAGCTTAAGAACAGCGGGCTAAAGAGGGTATCCTCAATCGGACCCAACCAGGGCAGTCTTATGTACTACTTCCGGGCAACCAGTTGAGGAGCGGATGGCAAATGAACCCCATGTTCCTTTCAGTACCTCTGTCTGATCCTATCACCTAAGCAACAGAGGTAGGACAGAGGAGAGTGAACTTCATGTTATCATGGAATATTGGCAAAGGGCTGGTCAATAAACCTACTAATGAAAACTTTGTGGACATAATACATAAATAGGATATTATTTGTATCACCGAATGCTGGATTACAGATAAAGGATGTTATAAAACTAAATGGGCACTGTACATATGGTTCTCCTAGACGAAAGGAGGTGGAATTGTAATTTTATATAAGAGCTATTTAAAAATTTATTTTGTTTAGTTGAAAATATTGTGGATTTTTGTGTGTTTGCTATTTCCCTCCAGAAAAGTGTTTTTGTAAAAATTGTGATCTCTTGTGGTCCTCTTGAATAATCAATTAGCCGTTACAAAACAAATGGAAATGTATATTTAACGGAGACTTTGATGCTAGAACAGGATTTTATAGTAAATAATGGTCTCAGTAATGACATGATGTATTTCGTTTACTACAGGAATGATTCGAGTATTCAGAATCATAGTAACATGGATAAACATGTTAACACGTTTGGCAGAAAATTACATTTATTGTGTAAAACCACAAGTATCCGTATGGTCGTCACACAGGTAACAAAGGCGGAAGGTTTACATTCTGTAGTAACAATGGAACACGCCTTATTGATTATCTATTGATTATATATGTATAGACGAGTTTGACACCATCTCTAACCACTCATCCTTATATTTCTCTGTCAATACCACGACATGTAGTTATAATATCACGAATTACCAGAACGGTATTTTATGTACATGTAAGACATTTAACAATGCAAGGTGGAATACAGATTATGTAAATAAAATTTGTAATGGTCTTCATGTGATAGCTGAGAACTCCTTGAAATATGTGATATGCCTTTGGGAACTCAAGAACAACTTGATAGATGTGTAGCAAAGTTTTGTAGTAATATAAATGACGTAGCTTTACCTAACTGTGACGTTAAAGTAGCAAAAAGTACAACACATTATCCCACACAACATAAGGTGGAGAGAGAGGACAAATCGTGGTTTACTGAAGAATGTAATGTAAGGTATAATGACTATAAAAATGCATTGTTTAATTGTAATATTTCTAAATCCAGTGAGAACCATGCTGCTCTTATAAGTAAAAAAACGGACTTACAAAAAGTTAGAAGATAGACTCAAACGACAATATCAACGACAGTAAAGTGATATGGTCGAGTTTCTTAAAAATTACAATCTGAAGGAGTTTTATAGATAGTTTTCAAAATGTAAAAATAGAACATCCCAATCTAAAACTATACTGATATTTTTTTTTAATATTTTAAGTGTTGCCAGTAACACTGGTGATATTGTTGCTCTTACACAAAATTTATATTATGACATAGATTTAACAATATTTAAAGAATTAGAAAAAACATTTACAGAACATGAAGATCAAATCGAAATCAGAAATCTGAAAAGAGGTGTATATTAAAACATGTTTTGAACAGAGAATAGTTGATAAAGATGATTGGATTATAAATATACAATTCGAATAGAATAACTGAGGATTGTGGTATTTATGGAATAACTTGTACAAAAGTAAGGCTGTGTACAAGTTAATAGAGCAAAAACATTATGATATACATTTGCAAGACTTATTACCTAAAATACATAATTCCCCAAACGGAACATTGTATCAGCATTTAGTAGATAATGTTAGGCTGCAGTATTAACTGAAAAAGCCTATCGATCAGTTGTATAGGAATAGTATGTTGTATTCGTCTTGGTTCTCATAAGCTTGATATTGAAAGTGGAAGACACAATAATGTAGCAAGGTCCAATAGAGTTTGTATATTATGTAACACTAATGATATCAAGGATGAGTTTCGCTTAATAAATGTACTTGTGTGAGACACCTGCAGCCATATTACTTCCGTCGTCCTAGTGTATTCAAACTTGTTCAATTGCTCAGCGTTAACAGGGACTTATACGTCCTTGGCGTTAATAATGTAAAAGATATGTGTAATCTTGATAAATTTATAAGATTTGCTAACAAGAAGCGCTCTCAGTCACCTTAGTAATATCGCTGTGTTTGTTTGTGGACGGTATGATTCCACATACTATAGTCACTCTCCTGTACATCATTACTCTGTTAAGCCTGTTACTATGTATTAATACTGTGTATTGTATCATATATGTCGTATGGCTTAGAGAATAAACTTATTGACCGGCGTTAGCTCCTCCCCTTTTGTAAAGAACTAGTTATATATACATGTAGTATCATTATTTGGTATGGCATTAATGACACCATATGGAAATAAAAGGTAGTATATAGTATTAGTAAAATAGCATTGAGAAAATCTTCATCATTTGGCAAGCCCCTGGAGTACCAAACAAAGTTACTTTGAAGAAACACCACAATTGATATTGGTTAATATATATTTTCTTGGCATCAACATCTGTTGGTAATGTACCAGGATATTAATCAGAAATAATGGCAGGAAAACAATCTCTATTCCAGATGAATTTGAGATGCATATACCCAACTCAAAAACTTCAGAATATATCATTAATCTAAAGGCTCAAACATTGATGCACACTCAACGAGGATTAAAGAAGTTGATGGTAAATATGGAGTATATGTTTATAAATACTATGTATGGCGATTTTTAAAAGTTATTCCACTAAAGTAAAGTAGTATAGGACATTAATATGATGATCTCAGAATGGTATTTGTCTCATCAAAACATGATTGGATGTGTTGTCTATGGGTTATACCCGTGCTAATCAGTGATTCGACTACTATTAACACGCAATACATCACATGTACAGGATTACCTGGGAAATTGTATAACTTGCAATATATTCACAGTTTAAACTGTTTTAACATCCTTAGCAGTTGCAGTTTTATTTGAAATTACTTAGTTACATTTTGACATTTCTTAACTGTTAGTATCATTCTAAGCACGTTAACATTCCAATAGAGGCGGTTTCTTCTTTTTGTCTTGAGTCTAATATTTAATAAGTCTGTTATTTCATTACAAATTCATTGAAATAATTCAGTGTGCAAGACAGCTTTTGTTATTTGATTATTAATTATCCAAATCAAATAAAGATGTTCATCAGAAGGCAACACACAAAATGTACCAAGATGTTTGGAGCCGCTTTATAAGCCCTCAGGCCTGTTTGACGGATTCGTGCAAGTCTACTCATTTCTGTTTATTGTGCGTATTTCAGTATTTATTATTTTTTTTTACAAAAAAAACCCATCAAATTCATTGGGACCTCCGTTTAGTTAACATGTCTGGTTTGTATTTAACAGGTTCCGGTAGTCTGATAAATTATATCGACAGATCGGCTTCCATATTGGTCGTATCAACTCTCACCACTTTCGCCGACCAGTCAATATAATTGTTTTAATGATATATTTCTGTATTCTTTATTTCACAATTAACTTATCTATGTACATGTGGTGATGTCCACTTTCTAACTGATATAAAACTCAAATCAGTAGAATAGAAATGACAAGTCGAAGTGGTAATTTATGTCTGTGTAGCCGTAGCTAATGCAGTCCCTGGCTAAAGTGAAAGTAGCCTACTCGTGTGAAAATACGCAACTATGTCTGAAGTCCACATCGGACTACCGGTTTCGGCTTCGCATTGCCATCGTTTATAAGATTCCACAAAACTACACATTTGAGTGTTCCGGATAATGACGTAAAATACATATTGTTCGATTACTGATAAAGTAAATGTCATAGTCAGCTGGAATCAATTTACCAAGGATCGGTAAGTTAACCGCGGCAGAGGTAAACCACGAAAGGGAATAATAATGACGGATTATGTCACATGTGCAACATTTATAAACTTGTGATTGAAATTAATAAGTTGGCATATATACATCTGCATCAACTCTCTATTTTGAAAGAATTAACAAGTGAATTAATAAAAAGGGGCGGGGTACTTACCGAAATGCAGTTGAATTTATCGATGTGGAGGAAATTGAGACTTGTATCAGTCATATTTTAAGAGAATTGACCAAGAATAGTATTCTTTAATGACATATTAGTTTGCATGTCAAAAAAAGTGGGTTAATCCCACTTAGAAACAATTTCATTACCTATTTTAAAAACTACCCACCAACGGATGGACTGTCGCTGGACTTGATTTACTGAAATGGAGGAAAATGGACATGAACTCGTTTTTTTAGAAGAATGAAGCCTTCATAGCTTTACTTGTTATAAGTTACGGCTATATCGCAAATGTTGAGAGATTAATTTAGTTTCATCTATTTCAAATTGATTTTCAGAAGTTTTGCATTCATGGTCGATTTTCGCTGAAGCTGAATTACTGAAATGGAGATAAACGAGCTTAGAATCAGCATTTGTACAGGGGAACGGGCCCACTTCTGCATTCTTTGTTATTCATTCGTGTGATATGCAGAAAAAAAATAGTTGATATATCCAGGGAGCATAGAAAATACTAATACAAACAATGCCACTATAAGACTATTCAATGTCATTTGTCGTCCGAGATTAATCTCCGAAATGGAGATAAATAGACCCAAATTTGGCTCGTTATCAAGAAAATGGAAAGACTAAAGTGATCTCTGACATTCAATTAGGTTAAGTTTGAAAAAATGGGGTTGTACATAACTAAAAAGTGTTTCAAATTAATGATTTAAATAACCACAATTCACGGTTTAAATTTTGCCTTCCCTCAATGGCACTGGGTGTAAGTAAAGAAGGAGTCGGAAACAGAGAATCCAGAATAATTTGCAAATGAACTTTACAGCATTTTATTTTTCTATTATTGGCTGTATGTAATTATTGACTCAAAATAAGCATAAATTTAATTCCTACACAAATACAATGAGCATAGCTGCTAAAATGTTTGTTAAAGGAAGACTATCCAATCTTACTTCTGATATAATCAATTTTGCTATGTATGGATAAAGTCATTGCTGCATCATTTATAATTTTGTGATTGAAATAAATACATGTTGGCATACATTGCATCAACTCTCTATTTGTAATGAATGAACTAGTAAAATATTAATACCTACAGTTACAATCACTGACTGTATTACCCAAACTGTTGTACAATTGTGCATATGAAATCTGTGTGATTTTGAAATCAAATTTTAGTTACAGAGCAATAATCCTATATGATTATTGTGATAAGATTAGACATGATCAACATGATTTCTCATGATTTATCAGTGGTTTCATGCATAATGTGCTTGTAAAATCAAAGATTGTCAAAAAAAGCGTCTGTTTCATAATGTTCATTTGGTTACTAGACCGGTCTATTTTCTATATATTTACCAATTGGTTTTGTAATTATTTGATTTATAAAAATGTTTTTTCAGATGACTTACTAATACTGTACAGAGTACATGTCCTCATTAAAATATAAAGTGAAAAGTGACTGTGAAGCTTGCCATAGATAGGAGAAATAATTTTGATGCAAATTGCCTTAAACAAGAACACATACACTACATAATTTTGTGCAACAATGTATGCCCATGATTCCTCCAGATCCATTTCAGTGATTTTGCACCAATCATCTTGTTCCACAAAATCTTGTAACAATTTCTTGTCTTATACTTAATTACCGTAATGTGGACTACAGACACATTTAAAAGTTAGTTTTGATTACTAACTACATTGTCTATAAAATTAAGTGCCTCTATCAGATCAAAAAGCTTTCCAATTCTAACTTGTGGCATTGTCAGCAATACTCAATCTTTCAATTTAAAAGGATTCAGAAATACTGAATTTGAAAATCTCAGTTTTTCGCAGAAAATACGAAGGTACAAATTGTGTATGCTGCCAAAGATATCATCCTGACAAAGCTGATTCAAAACATTCCAAACATTCAATGCAACAATATGTTAATGAAATCATTGAAATGATAATCATCCTTTTGAAACTTAACATCTAGTTGACTATGAAAGTCAAATTATACAAAATGTATAGTCATTCAGCACAATTTGTTTTACCTCCACTACTGTTTCATTTGGAGGTAATAACTAATGACTGATCACGTTTTAGTATCTCTCAGGAGTTAACATGGTTATACTTCAGTATAATGTATGAAAATTACCAAATACTATTTAAAGTCACATCTAGCTAATTCATATTTCATAAATCATTAATAATTAACTTTTATTAAAATTAAATTCAATCAAGTTCATGTAAATACAAAATCCAGCGATAAAAAATACCAGTTATGATTGGTACCCATGTACACGCATGTCTCTCTCTCTTTTTTTCTCCGTTTTAACCAAGTCCGGATTTCCGTTTTCCACTTTAGTGTAACCCAATGCTACATTACTATGTAAACGTGAATAGCAATTAGAAATACTTCTAAGTCGAATAACCTACAAATGAGAATCAAAGAATGCTATGTGGAGTCCATTCTCTTAATAAAATATTAATTTCACGTCCATTATACCCCATTTTGGTACATCAAACTTGGCAGAAGTAGGACAGTGAATCGCAAATTTTTGAAAATTAAATGAAAATATTTTTGAGTGGAATGAACTTAGGATTTTTGATATATGAACCGACAGATCACCAAAGAACACAATGACAAGGGTCCATTCTCTTGAAAAAACAATCGATTTAAATGCGGTTTCTCTCCATTTCGGTACGTCAACATTCTTGGAAGCTGGGCCGTGAATCGCAGTTTTTTGAAAATTAATTAAAATACTTCTTGTGAAAATAAACTTACATTTTTTACATACAAATCACCAGGTAACTAAATAAGATAATGTGATGCCCATTCTCTTTAATAACAGCCGATTAAAGTCTCAATTTCCTCCATTTCGGGAAATTCAATTCCATTTCGGTAAATATCCCAACCCAAAATATCCATAGATTAAAAGGTGATGTCACTGTTATTAATACCTACTGTTACAGTCCTTAACTGTATTGCCTGTACTCCAACTGTGGTACAAGTGTGATGTTAGTGTGAATTCTGGTGGTGTAGATGTCATAAGCAGATACCTACATCCACACTGAACACTTACAGCCGACCATCATGTGAAATTTGATGGTAAGATATTAAAAACACTGTCTGTGGTCAATCTGCTGGTGATCTGTCCATGAACAATTCTTGTTCTTGCTAGTTCTTCAGTATCACAGGATGGATCTTTCTCCAATTTTGATATGTTACATTAGGTTTCTCTCGATCACTAGTTATGCCCTTTTGATTTTAAGATTTATAAAAAAGTTGATGGCTAGCAGGCAACCATCTTGAATTTTGACAATGAAAGATTGTTATCACTTTTTCATGAGGTTTACTGCATAGATCTTTGTCAAGTTTCAAATAAATGTTACCCTTAGTCCCTAGTAATGCCGTTTTGATTTTGGGACTGATCAGAAAAACAAAATGTCTGCAGGTAGCCATCTTGGATTTTACACTTCCATGTTATCATCACCATTTCTTAAAAGAGGAATTGTTCAGTTCCATATGATCAAAAGCAAAATATGAAAAGAGAAAAGAAGAGAAAGGTCCTATTTTATGGAACAAATTCAGATGAGTGTCATCTTTTCCCTTGGATTTCTTCTAGAGCTATGAAATTATTTGTTGAACCTCTGCTCTGAACAGTACAATTAATTATCACGATGATACTGAGGAGAGCAGCCTACAATGGTATACCAGAGTAATCAGAATCCAAGGTAAAGTCACCTGTTCACCTGATCTGTCTGCATACGTTATAAACTTGTTGACCACCTTCATTCTTCATTCTTTATTTTATCGTTGGTTGCAAATGATGATATGTCTGAACTAGTTTGTCCAATTTTTTAAAATCACTTTCATGTACATGTATTTGAAAATAAAATTCTGCATGGAATTGAATAAAAATACCTGTTATGGAAATTACCCCACAATTTTTGGCATATAAACCAATATGTCAATAAGAAGGGTAATACCAAATGCATTCTCTTCAAACAGTCTATTTAAGGAAAGATCAATTTCCTCCATTTTTGTAAATTCAACTCTTGTGTCTGTAAATACCCTAACTGTTAACTTTTATATTTCCAGCAATGTTACCAGACCCATAAATGTATACTATATCACATATGCAAGTCACACAGATCTATGTTTTACATGAAGATATAAATTGGCATGTTTCGAATCTTGTAGACGTTGCTGAGTCACACAAAAACTAAATCAAATATTTGTGTTCCAGACTTCATTTATACAAAATGTTTGCATACTTGTTGACACAAGTGGACTTGAACTTCAAACAAATTTACATCCTGGTATACCAGATGGAGACTACAGGGCACAGATATCTCTCATTGTGTACAAACTTTTCATCAGTAATGACAGTTGTTAGGTTAGGTGCAATCAAACTAGACATTTGAATTGAACTTAAGTTATTTTGAAGAAAAATAAAAGTTTAATAACTGGTATCGATGTTAACCTGAAAGTGAAAGCACATCATGCATGTCTAGCCAGAAAAATCTCATGCTTATACATGTCTGACTGGGAATAATCCTGACTACAATTTGTTGACATTTGACTTGATCAGTGATTGATCAATTCCATAGCCCAGTCATTTTTCTTAAAAAGAATTAACAAATTCAAAAATTAAAAAAAAAAATAACCAAACAAAACAAAGGAAAAGCTGTCCTTGCCACACCCTGTTCTCCACATCCACACCATGCAAATTTTGCACATCCATCCAAAAGGATCTAATTTATAAAGCCAAAAGATGAAATATTTAATCACTGCTGCAAGGTTTTGTGCTGACTGGAATTAGAGACCATTTTCTTCTTGTTGTATTTCAGTATAACATTCCATGAAGTCAACACCAGTGTTTCACTAGTCAGATGATCTGTAGATCCATTTCAACATGGCAAGAGCTGCACCTATGTTTTTCCTGTGTGGTCAGAGATGGTCATTAAATGGTGTGTCCCTTGTGATAGTAGTTCTAACTCTCCTCTGCAATGAGTTCTTCATCTATATGATACAGAGTTTTAGATGGCCAAGCCTGCCAGTAGCTTCTAGGTAAGTATTTGTATGTCAGTAAATTCTTGATTTTGAACTTATGTATTCTCGTCTGTTTTAAGTATGCAATGGTTCAGCTGACCATCAGGTTCTAAGTATGTGATTTTTTTTTAACATTCACAGTGCACTGGCTATCAGTCTTACTGCTATTGTGGATTGAGGGGAAGTAACTCTGCTTAATCAGGGTGATTAACAAGGAGAAGCAAGATGTAACTGGTAAACAGTTGTTTATATACCAATAGATACAAGTTATACTGTTTGTTTCTATTGTGACAGGGACCCGAGTAGAACACAGGTGATACTGTTTGTGGCTGACCCACAGTTACAAGGCTTTCAGGATGAACCAGGTTTCCCCATAGGATCAGTCACTAGATGGGACATAGACAGGTAACCTCACACTTCACCAAATACTCTATCAAACATCACTTTATACTCAGAGTTCTATCAAATATCACTTTATACTTCAAGTTCTATCAAACATCACTTTATACTTCAAGTTCTATCAAACCTCAATTTGTACTTCAAGTTCTATCAAACATCACTTTATACTTCAAGTTCTACCAACATCACTTTATACTCAAGAGTTCTATCAAACCTCAAATTATACTCAAGAGTTCTATCAAACATCACTTTATACTCAGAGTTCTATCAAACCTCAAATTATACTCAAGAGTTCTATCAAACATCACTTTATACTCAGAGTTCTATCAAACATCATTTTATACTCCAAGCTCTATCAAGCAGTGGTAACACACAAAGGCCAGCCAGTTTTGTATGTCCTATTTTGTTATTTACTTAAAGTACTTCATTTTTCCTGTTGATGCCAAATCTTTTTACAAGTCTGTTTATTTATTTATTTAACAGTTTTACCGTCCACTATTACGGCTTTTTGGCCTTTCGAGTTTACAAGTCTGTAAGTTAAGTGCTTTTTATATTCCTTGAAGGGAGGGCATATTATGGTCGCTTTGTCCATCCATCTGTTTGTTTGTCCATCTGTTTGTACATCTGTCAATTTGTCCATCCTTCATAATTTTTACTTGATCAAAACACAAAAACTATGAAAGGTATCAACATAAAACTTCATAGTAGACAGATCCCAACCAGGAGAAGTGCATTTTACCAGAACCATCACTCTCTTTTTGCATAATTTAGTAGTTATTGCCCTTTGTTATTTTTCATACTTAGATTTTGTCTGCAGCATTATACTAAAACTATAAGAGGTATCAACATTAAACTTTGTACCACATAGATAAATCTCAACAAGGAGAAGTGCAACACAACCATCACTTTCTTTTACATAATTTAGGAGATATTGCCCTTTGTTATTTTTATCCCCCACCCAACAAAGTTAGTGGGGGATATTCAAATCGTTTCTGTCCGTCTGAAAACTGCTTTCCGCATGATATCTTTTGAAGGACTGGTCAGGTTTTGATGAAACTTGGTTGGTGCACTTGTAATTTTAATCCCCTGCCCATGTTCAATTAACAACAAATTCCTCACATATTTAATGAGGCTGCTTTGACTTGATTGGCTGATTTCTTTAATCGCGCTATGGAAATGCTTTCTGCTCATTATCTTACGAAAGAATGATAAGATTTGTAGGAAACTTGCTTTGTAGACTTATTACCTTAATTCCATGTTCAGGTTCCATTATTGGCAAATTCTATGCATATAGAGACTGTTGTGATCTGATTGGGCAATATCTTTTATAATTTTCATTTGACCACCGTAACGTTGAAAGTGGATCAAAGTCAACCATATCAACAAAATATGGTAGCCATTTATCCTAGCATATACCAGGCAAAATATCTGTAGCCTGGGCCTTTTGGTTATTGAGAGGAAGTGATTTGAAATCTTAAACAAACTCAACCTGTTTTTTCTTTTTTAATTTACTCTTGACCACCATGACCTTTGAAATGAGTCAAGTTCATTCATATTAACAAACTTTGTAGCCCTTCATACTAACATTGTCCTGGCCAAATATCAGTGATCTGGGCCTTTTTGGTATGGGGCAGAAGTCGTTTAAAAGTTTTATTACAAACTTGATCCATTTTTCACTACAAACTACAAAAAGAATTTTTCAAAAAAATTTTAAAAAGTTGAAAAAATTGATGACCTTTGACCCTAGAACAAGCCTTTTAATTTTACTTTCTAGGTATTATAGATCCATTATGAAATCTACATAGGTATAAACATGAAACTTCACAGGTAGATAGATCTCAACAAGGAGAAGTGCAGTGCACAAGATCCTTCGCTCTTTTTTTGCATGATTTAGGAGTTATTGCCCTTTTTTCATTTTTCATACTTACATAACCCATCTCTGATGATCCTTGTGTCGGCAGGTTCCTTAGTCAGACCTTTTCCTTGGCACATGCATATGCCCAGCCAGACGTGGTCGTGTTTCTAGGCGATCTGATGGATGAAGGCAGTAAAGCAAGCAAAGAAGAGTACAAATCCTACTACTACAGGTTCCTCAGTGTGTTTCGTGCAGCTGAGAAAGACAAGGTAGTAACTGAATTTTTTGATATCTTTAGATACTATTTAATTGAGATATATGTATGATTATGCTATCTTTTGGTCAAGTTGTGTAACACAGACAGGAATAGATATATGGCACTTAATTCTGTCCTGGAATAAAATACTAACATCTTAATCTTAACATAACACAATTTTTTATCTATTTAATTCTCACAGAGAGGTTTGCCAGTAAGCCTTAAATTTCTTTTTCTGTACCGAATCTTTTTTATGTGAGTCATATTTCGACAAATACATAATTTATGTACAATTTTTGTAAGTGTATTATTGTTACCCTGACGAAGCCTGGAATGGCGAAACCGGTTGATAAGTACCTATTAAACATATCCACCTCCTTGGCTGTTATGTTCAATATCCTTACCTGTTGTGATATTGTTTTACAATGTTTTGTGTGTGATTGTTTTGTATGTGATATGCCTAGAGTTATGTCATGTGTTGATACAGTTGTTGTACATGTATCTGAATTGAAATGGGAGATATTGATGTTATGTGACATGAATTTGAAATGATTACAACTATCTGTTTGTGTTTTGTCTGTCTGTGTTGATTAGAAAGTCTATATTGCTGGAGACAATGACATAGGAGGGGAGTTACGAGACATGAGGAAAGAGTGGAAAATGGAGAGATTTGAGAAGCACTTTGATCTGCTGACTGGAGTAGATAAATTTGGGTTTATTGATTATATAAAGGTATGTTTCTGTTGATGGTATCTCTACGTAAAATCTGTACACTATTGATAACTTATAGCGATACAGAGCACCTGTCAATGTTTAATTTTTCCCCCCTTTTGAACATTTTTACTTTTGTATCATTGATAAACAGATATTTTTACAAGCTGGCAGCAGTTCATTATATTTATCCTAAGGATGTGTGGAATGAAAATTATTGAAAAAAGTGAATACTCTGGTCCTTTTTGATTTGCTAAACATTGTGAATTCATTTCACTTGTGTAACTCTATTGTATTTCTTCTGTTGGTAGTGCAGAATTTGAGCACAACTTATTATGGTTTTTCATAGCTTTGATTCTATGTCTGTTTACATATTCAGGTGATTCGGGTAGAATTTCATTTTTAGTTCCATTTATAATAAAAAACATTTGGAAGAATCTCACAAAATCTTTGATGATATACCAATCATCAATAAACAAGTCAGTAATTAGCACAACTGTACCCTGTTGACAGCACGTCAATGGATAGTGCTTATTGTCTGTATGGTGATGGGGAAGATGTGTCTGATATTCTTCCCTTGTGGTGCTGTTCCTCAGCAGTATCTGTAACGAGTGGAAAACTGGTCCTGAAATTCTTTCTGATGGTGAAATTTAAATGACACTACAAGCCATTTATAGGATTTGAGCATGATGATATCATTCACCTTGTATTACAACAGATCTAAGAGAAATAAGAAATAGTTTAACAACATTTTAGATATATGTATTTCTGATCAACCTGAGAACCAGATAGGACACCATATCTATATGATTAATTGTTGTAACTGATTGATATTTCAGTAAACATAAACATTCCATCAGTTAAGACTTGGTACAATTAACATATTCTATGATATAGTTATGTTTTAATCTAATATCATAACTGCAATTTGTATTTGTCTAATGTTGGTTTCAGATGGATGTCCAGACTCAGGGCATGCCTTTTCTGCCTAAGAGAGATTTAGCTGATGAACTACAGAAGAAAATCACATCACCGATTAGAATCCTTGTTAGCCATGAAACTGTCATGCCTAAACGAAAGGAAGAACTCTATCCAGTGAGTGCTGTCATTTGTATTCATCGTGTAAATTGTACTCTTTGATAAGTTGTCTGGTATGTTGTAAAATGTACCTTTGATAAGTTGTCTGGTATGTTGTAAAATGTACACTCTTTGATAAGTTGTCTGGTATGTTGTAAAATGTACACTCTTTGATAAGTTGTCTGGTATGTTGTAAAATGTACACTCTTTGATAAGTTGTCTGGTATGTTGTAAAATGTACACTCTTTGATAAGTTGTCTGGTATGTTGTAAAATGTACACTTTGATAAGTTGTCTGGTATGTTGTAAAATGTACCTTTGATAAGTTGTCTGGTATGTTGTAAAATGTACACTTTGATAAGTTGTCTGGTATGTTGTAAAATGTACACTTTGATAAGTTGTCTGGTACCTTTGATAAGTTGTCTGGTATGTTGTAAAATGTACACTTTGATAAGTTGTCTGGTATGTTGTAAAATGTACACTCTTTGATAAGTTGTCTGGTATGTTGTAAAATGTACACTCTTTGATAAGTTGTCTGGTATGTTGTAAAATGTACACTCTTTGATAAGTTGTCTGGTATGTTGTAAAATGTACACTCTTTGATAAGTTGTCTGGTATGTTGTAAAATGTACACTCTTTGATAAGTTGTCTGGTATGTTGTAAAATGTACCTTTGATAAGTTGTCTGGTATGTTGTAAAATGTACACTCTTTGATAAGTTGTCTGGTATGTTGTAAAATGTACACTCTTTGATAAGTTGTCTGGTATGTTGTAAAATGTACACTCTTTGATAAGTTGTCTGGTATGTTGTAAAATGTACACTCTTTGATAAGTTGTCTGGTATGTTGTAAAATGTACACTCTTTGATAAGTTGTCTGGTATGTTGTAAAATGTACACTCTTTGATAAGTTGTCTGGTATGTTGTAAAATGTACACTCTTTGATAAGTTGTCTGGTATGTTGTAAAATGTACACTTTTATAAGTTGTCTGGTATGTTGTAAAATGTACCTTTGATAAGTTGTCTGGTATGTTGTAAAATGTACACTCTATGATAAGTTGTCTGGTATGTTTTTAAATGTACACTCTTTGATAAGTTGTCTGGTATGTTGTAAAATGTACACTCTTTGATAAGTTGTCTGGTATGTTGTAAAATGTACACTCTTTGATAAGTTGTCTGGTATGTTGTAAAATGTACACTCTTTGATAAGTTGTCTGGTATGTTGTAAAATGTACACTCTTTGATAAGTTGTCTGGTATGTTGTAAAATGTACACTCTTTGATAAGTTGTCTGGTATGTTGTAAAATGTACACTCTTTGATAAGTTGTCTGGTATGTTGTAAAATGTACACTCTATGATAAGTTGTCTGGTATGTTGTAAAATGTACACTCTTTGATAAGTTGTCTGGTATGTTGTAAAATGTACACTCTTTGATAAGTTGTCTGGTATGTTGTAAAATGTACACTTTGATAAGTTGTCTGGTATGTTGTAAAATGTACACTTTGATAAGTTGTCTGGTATGTTGTAAAATGTACACTCTTTGATAAGTTGTCTGGTATGTTGTAAAATGTACACTCTTTGATAAGTTGTCTGGTATGTTGTAAAATGTACACTCTTTGATAAGTTGTCTGGTATGTTGTAAAATGTACACTCTTTGATAAGTTGTCTGGTATGTTGTAAAATGTACACTCTTTGATAAGTTGTCTTATGTTGTAAAATGTACCTAAGTTGTCTGGTATGTTGTAAAATGTACACTTTGATAAGTTGTCTGGTATGTTGTAAAATGTACACTCTTTGATAAGTTGTCTGGTATGTTGTAAAATGTACACTCTTTGATAAGTTGTCTGGTATGTTGTAAAATGTACACTCTTTGATAAGTTGTCTGGTATGTTGTAAAATGTACACTCTTTGATAAGTTGTCTGGTATGTTGTAAAATGTACACTCTTTGATAAGTTGTCTGGTATGTTGTAAAATGTACACTCTTTGATAAGTTGTCTGGTATGTTGTAAAATGTACACTCTTTTGTCTGATAAGTTGTCTGGTATGTTGTAAAATGTACACTCTTTGATAAGTTGTCTGGTATGTTGTAAAATGTACACTCTTTGATAAGTTGTCTGGTATGTTGTAAAATGTACACTCTTTGATAAGTTGTCTGGTATGTTGTAAAATGTACACTCTTTGATAAGTTGTCTGGTATGTTGTAAAATGTACACTCTTTGATAAGTTGTCTGGTATGTTGTAAAATGTACACTCTTTGATAAGTTGTCTGGTATGTTGTAAAATGTACACTCTTTGATAAGTTGTCTGGTATGTTGTAAAATGTACACTCTTTGATAAGTTGTCTGGTATGTTGTAAAATGTACACTCTTTGATAAGTTGTCTGGTATGTTGTAAAATGTACACTCTTTGATAAGTTGTCTGGTATGTTGTAAAATGTACACTTTGATAAGTTGTCTGGTATGTTGTAAAATGTACACTCTTTGATAAGTTGTCTGGTATGTTGTAAAATGTACACTCTTTGATAAGTTGTCTGGTATGTTGTAAAATGTACACTCTTTGATAAGTTGTCTGGTATGTTGTAAAATGTACACTCTTTGATAAGTTGTCTGGTATGTTGTAAAATGTACACTCTTTGATAAGTTGTCTGGTATGTTGTAAAATGTACACTCTTTGATAAGTTGTCTGGTATGTTGTAAAATGTACACTCTTTGATAAGTTGTCTGGTATGTTGTAAAATGTACCTTTGATAAGTTGTCTGGTATGTTGTAAAATGTACACTCTTTGATAAGTTGTCTGGTATGTTGTAAAATGTACACTCTTTGATAAGTTGTCTGGTATGTTGTAAAATGTACACTCTTTGATAAGTTGTCTGGTATGTTGTAAAATGTACACTCTTTGATAAGTTGTCTGGTATGTTGTAAAATGTACACTCTTTGATAAGTTGTCTGGTATGTTGTAAAATGTACCTTTGATAAGTTGTCTGGTATGTTGTAAAATGTACACTCTTTGATAAGTTGTCTGGTATGTTGTAAAATGTACCTTTGATAAGTTGTCTGGTATGTTGTAAAATGTACCTTTGATAAGTTGTCTGGTATGTTGTAAAATGTACCTTTGATAAGTTGTCTGGTATGTTGTAAAATGTACACTCTTTGATAAGTTGTCTGGTATGTTGTAAAATGTACACTCTTTGATAAGTTGTCTGGTATGATGTAAAATGTACACTCTTTGATAAGTTGTCTGGTATGTTGTACAGAGGACCTGTGATAATCCGCAGGTTGGTAGTCTGCAAAACTCGTAATGTTGATGGAAATATTATGAAACAGATTTCCACAATATGATTTTGAAGCACTAGTCTGGAAAAATAATGTCAGATCCCGGAATATTTTTTGGAAACCACATGGTCGTTCCTTAATAATCTTCATACATTAGTTTTGACATATTTGTCAACTGACCTTGGACATATTTGTCAATTGGCCTGTCATATTTCTTGTGATGGTTATACTGATTGCACAGGTCATACTTTAAAGTCCTAGCTTACTCGTATATCTTAGTACTGTACCCGTAGATATAACAACAGTATAGAAAACACAAGGATGGTCAGGTATTTGATTGTGGCTCTAGTAGATACATAGACATGATGATAACAGCAGGAAGGATAGGGTCACTAACCAGACTAGTGCTACAGTACACTCATTCAGAGAGACTTTACATAACCGTAAGCTTGAATTTGGATAGCAAATGATTTAGTGAGAGAATTAGCAATGCTTATTCTTCTCTGTCGACAATTGCAGAAGCTTTGAAAATCGTAAAAGTGTAGGTAAGAAGACAAAATGCAAAACTAATGATTTGACAAATTCAACCATTTTTTCTTTTCATTGACACATATGGATATTCTATTTTTATACGTGGAGAAAATCAATGTGTAAATATTCTAAAACTTGTTTGTTGTATAGAGTAAACATACATAATTTAATTACAGATTCTTCATTTAGTTTACTGAGGATGTTGTACTTGACTTAATAGTTAATAAAAGCATGCCATTCACTGAATTTGAAATTTAGATTTCTACACATGTGCTAGTTATCAGAAAATTATATATGTTTTGCTGTGCATTCAGTTAACTTTTGTTTTTAGGTCACCTGAGACAAAGTCACATGATGACCTTTTGTAATCACCTTCGTCCGGTGTCGTGCATCCGTAAACAATTTAAAATTTCCAATTTCTTCTCAGAAACCCCTGATCCTATTTCAATGAAATTTTGCAGAAACCTGGAGTCTTTGTTGTTATAATTATAAAGAGACATAAGTCGATCTGTATGGCAAGCCATATGACCATAGTTTCCACACTATTGAGTATTGAGATAAATTGGGAATCTTTGTCATTATTGTAAAGGGAGGTAACTCTGTATAGACAGTCAAGTAAATTATTACAATTATAGGGAGGTAAATCTGTATGGCAAGTCATATGACCATAAATTCCAGACAATGGAGTTGATTGTTTGTTATGCTAGTGGACACATGGTCCCAAGAGCCAAACTGAGTCCATTAGTACATCCAAAACTATATTCAAACCTACCCTTTAAAATCACTGACCAGAATTTCACCAACTGTAACCAATCTTCATTTAGGATTCAAAATTTTAAACTCAGTGTGGATGAATTGGCTGTATGGATTTAATGGATAACAACTTCATATATGTCTAATTGGATGTATATTCAGGTGATGGGGAAGTTTTACTGATGCTAGAGCCCTTGAGGACTTGTGGAGCCTGTGTCCAGAATAAAGTGATTTGTCCATGTTCCTTTAATATTTACGATCTTATTCTTACTATAATGAATATTAATCTCATCAGATTGTGACAGCATTGATATGTCTTAAACTGCTTGATACTATTCTAGGGTATTTTTAATGTCAGATACATGTACAATACACTTTAACTGTTTGGATATGCGTACAACCAATTTGACCTGTTGTAATTGGCCTACTTAAGAGTTTTGTGTTTAATTTTCAGCTTTTAAAAAGATTGAGACCACAACTGATTTTCTCAGGCCATTGGCATAAGGTAAGATAACAGAAAAACTTTAAGGCTGTATGATAATCAGACAAATACATTTATTCATTGCTCATATATGGTATTGAGAATAGTGAATATATCTCTTCTACGACACTTGTTTGATAGTGGCTATATTTTATACAGATAACAGTTAATATTTTGTCCTCTGAAACTAATTGACAATTTGCAAGTTGTTTTTACAGATATTCTACTATCATCAGAAAATCATTGTCTTTCTTATGTAAAGTTTTCCTGTACCATAAAACTAGATATCTGTTTGTTTGGTCTATGACGTAAAGTTTTTTCTATACCATAAAGGCAGGTGTCTGTCTATTAGGTTTCTGATGTAAAGTTTTTTCTATACCATAAAACCAGTTATCTGTCTGTTTGGTCTATGACGTAAAGTTTTTTCTATACCATAAAACCAGGTATCTGTCTGTTGTATTTCTAATGTAAAGTTTTCCAGTACCCTAGTGCCAGGTGTATGTCAATTTTGTCTCTAGTGTAAAGTTTCTTTGTTCTATAAAGCCAGTTGTCTGTTCACTGTTATCCTAATGTAGTTTCCTTTGTTCTATAAAGCCAGTTGTCTGTTCACTGTGATTCTAGTGTAAAGTTGCTTTGTTCTATAAAGCCAGTTGTCTGTTCACTGTGATTCTAGTGTAAAGTTGCTTTGTTCTATAAAGCCAGTTGTCTGTTCACTGTGATTCTAGTGTAAAGTTGTTTTGTTCTATAAAGCCAGTTGTCTGTTCACTGTGATTCTAGTGTAAAGTTGCTTTGTTCTATAGAGCCAGTTGTCTGTTCACTGTGAATCTAGTGTAAAGTTGCTTTGTTCTTTAGAGCCAGTTGTCTGTTCACTGTGATTCTAGTGTAAAGTTTCTTTGTTCTATAAAGCCAGTTGTCTGTTCACTGTGAATCTAGTGTAAAGTTGCTTTGTTCTATAGAGCCAGTTGTCTGTTCACTGTGATTCTAGTGTAAAGTTTCTTTGTTCTATAAAGCCAGTTGTCTGTTCACTGTTATCCTAATGTAGTTTCCTTTGCTGTAAAGCTAGTTTTCTGTTCATTCTATTACTAGTGTAAAGTTTCCCTGTGCAATAAAGCCAAGTGTCCTCATTGAGTTCCTGATGTAAAGATTTCTGTGTTATAAAACCAGTTGTGATGCTAAGTGCCTGTTCATTGTGATTCTAATGCAAAGTTTCCTTGTGATACTTTTTGTAGTCTGTTGTGTTTGTCTGTGAGAAATGTATGGTTGAGGATGATTACACTTGGCCTGTTCATCGCCGAGAACTTACATGGATGGAGGGCTATATGTCTGTTAACCTGACAATCAATCTTGAAGCACTCACAGAGGTTATGGTGCCGACCTGTAGTTACCGTATGGGTGAGACTGATATGGGATACGGAGTAGCAGTTATAGGTAATTACATTTACTTAAAACCAAAACTCAAACTTATATTTATTTTACATAACTTTTTATCAGCAGTTTATCAGACTAAGCTTGTGAATGAATGTCGTAGGATGAGGTCTGTAATCTTCACATCAAGTCTACCAAGTATCATCATTAGATAATAACAGTCAGACATAAACTGTTCCATGATTTTCACCTGGGTAATATTTTGTATGATTAACAAAAATTGAAAAAGAAACACTGGACAGGAAAAATGAATAACTGAGTTGTAATCAATTTTTTTTTATTTTATGTTCTTGAGATAAAATTCAGAGTCTTAATTAGAGCAAGAGAAATACTTGTGAAACTGGGTCATTAAATTATCAAAGTTCAAGTCATAGAACTTTAGTATCTGAAATCTCACATTCGAATTTGATGATTTGCCATCACAGGTAACTAGATATTCTCAGATATGATTGATAATTGATAATTAAAACTTTGATTTTTTTTCTCTTTTTCTACAGAATCAAGTGGAGAAATGAAGTATGCTGTACTTTGGTTGCCACGACGATACACGATGCTATATGTTTATTTAGGAGTTTTAATACCTCTGTTTTATGTTCATGTTCATTTCAAGTTTCTTCCATATATTATGAAAAAATTTTATAGACGAAAGACTTAGTTTCCTTTCAATTATGTTTAATATGCATTCCAGCATTATGCAACTTTTAGCTCAGGATTTGTGGTCCCAGTCTCAAAACGTTTTTCTTTGAGCAATTAGAGTCATGTGACTTCTTTCTGTTGTTGTTGATGATGGTGTTTATACCAACAAACATTTTTTAAAACTTGTTCCATTGTGGCATGCTGACATCCATCCCTCTGTAAACTTTCTCTTACAACATTACCAGTCAATAATGGATTACTGTAGTAGGATATAATTCATACAAAGGATCCTAGACATTGCTATACTAGGACAGAATACAGATCCTGCATGGGGGCAGGTGGCGCCTTGATATGGAAAATATCCTATGCTTTCAAATCATTCCTGCATAGAAATAATTTTTTAACCTTCTTTTCATTCATTGAGGATTGAAACTCCATGTTGTATAGATATATTCTCCAGCCTAAAAAGTCAAAAGAGAAAGAAGAGAACCAGATTATACACCCCTGTGTTCAATAATCAGGAAACATTTTATCTATCAAGAATTATATTATACCAAAGAGAGTGCAAAAATATTCACTCAAACTAACTACTTACAATTGATTTTCAGACTTAGCTCTTCATCATCATCAAAGAGGGACTTTCTCTCGCCTATGATAAAGGTATATCCATACCAAGATGTGTTATTTGTCAGATGTAAGATAACCCATCCCCTCCTCTCCCAGATGTAAGATAACCCATCCCCTCCTCTCCCAGATGTAAGATAACCCATCCCCTCCTCTCCCAGATGTAAGATAACCCATCCCCTCCTCTCCCAGATGTAAGATAACCCATCCCCTCCTCTCCCAGATGTAAGATAACCCATCCCCTCCTCTCCCAGATGTAAGATAACCCATCCCCTCCTCTCCCAGATGTAAGATAACCCATCCCCTCCTCTCTCAGATGGAGAACAAAGCCTGATATCTGTTATGGACCATGTAGAAGCATAATACAATATAGATAGACAAGCATTTTATTATTTTATTGATGTGATACTTGTATTTGTAGGATGTTTATGTAGATTACGGGATACTATGAATAACCTTGTCTAACAAGACAATGTTAGCAACATAGATCAAACACATTAAGAAGCATTCCATCCTTAAACCTATTTTTTATATGACGTGTGTACACAAGATTGTTTTATATCACTCTTCACACTTTGTTGTATTTAGTGACTGATCATTAAATTACATATGTGTAAATACTTCTTAAATTACATAAGTGTACAAATTACATATGTGTACTGATCATTAAATTACATATGTGTGTATACTGATCATTGAATTACATGTGTAAATACTTATTTAAATTACATATGTGTACATACTGATCATTAAATTACATATGTGTATATACTGATCATTAAATTACATATGTGTAAATACTTCTTAAATTACATATGTGTACATACTGATCATTAAATTACATATGTGTAAATACTTATTAAATTACATATGTGTACATACTGGTCATTATATTACATATGTGTATATACCGATCATTAAATTACATATGTGTTTATTTACTGCTCTTGAAGGTCTGTTGCCTAATTACTTACAGTGTATCACAGGTAAACCATGAAGCTGTATATAGTTAACAAGGATTGATTTCATATTGAAGACCTGATGTCTTAAAATAAAGTTCAACAATTCAAAGGATATGAAAAGCAATTTTATGAATATTTGTAAATAAACTTCTTTGTTAACAACAAGTAAAATGGCCTATTTAAACTGTAATTTATATTTTAAACTGAAACATTTACGTGTTTTAGACGATCATTGTGTGAGATTAATGCACATGCTGTTTTCTGTCACTGCAGAAAACAGCAAAACTATATATGTGACAGGTGTATTCTGACAAAGGCAGCAGCAGTTTCATTTCATTTCAGAATATTTTATTGTCTTGATGTTTGTAACAAATGGAATTGGGCAACAGGCAAAGCCTATGAAAGCCCTCTCCATACAACTTAAACAAGTACACAGACACATCAATCAAAATTTAAGATATTAAATAATAATGATAGCATTCCAGGAAAAGAAATTAGAACATAGATTCAGTTGAATAATTATCTAACAGAAATGTTAGGCAAGCATTACCATCATTTAAATTATAGTGTTAAAGAATAGTAAGATTAGATAGGTAATATAATTATATATAACAAGATGGAGTCAAAGTTTGTCAATTGATCACGGCAGCAGTTGCAGGATAAAAATGTATATAATGACCACTCTGGATGTTTGTTTGCTTTCTGTTTTATCACTATTGTAATTATATTAATCAGTTTAATTAATTGTATACAGCGTATCTGGGCAGTCAATCAATCAATAATGACAACCATCAGGTTTTATCCTGTATTCACTGTTGACAATTACCGGATGTTTTGTCACTTCCTTGAAAATCAACACGATATCAGGCACCTGTGATAGAATTGTATGTCCCTGATAAGAGGAATTGTGATTTTTGTTGTTGTTTTTTCTATATTAAGAAACCTATCGTGAAAAAAACTCTTTTAAAACATTTTCATCTTCTCAATATTCAAAAGAAATTGAATGGAAACTCAATGATTTTGGCCTGGAAAAACCATTTGAATTGTTACCTTCTTTAGGCAATACTTTAACATGAACATACCATGTTGCATGTGCATGTTTACCTTTTTAAGGTATAAGTAAGGATTAAGGATAAGGGCTACGATGATAATTAAAACTGTGTGTCAGTTGTTACACAGTGAAGTTGTATAGTTAAAATACAGGTATTTACAGAGATTAGTGTTTAAAACTTAGACCGAAAAGTTACCATCAACATGTATATACTATAAGCATTGTGCAGGAAGACATCAATGTTTTCTGCCAGTAAAAGTATTAAGGGTGTAACAGAGGAGTGTGCTAAAACAGGACAGAAAATACATCCTGTTGTTAATGTGTAGGAGGTTGGAGTGGGCCAGGGACATGTAACTGATGATATACAATATATCGTCCCTGGACTTGTCTGAAAAATTCTAGTCCACTAAAACATTTGTTTGCAATGAAAATGGAAGCTTATGTTAAGAACAAACAAAAGATGTGTTTGTATAGCACTTGTTAACATGGATAGTACAGTCATCAATTAGGAATCTTTGATGGGGTTAATATGGTGTTATCACCAGCCCAGGAGAAGAAAATCATCCTCTGTCAATAGTATTGGGTTGATATAACACTATATTGACCAAAAGGTGTTTGAGATTTAATATTCAGACAAATACATAATAATTAACAATTTTGTTTATTATTTTAATAGAGTACAAAAATTGTTAGAACTTTTAACAAATAAAATTTCACAAATTATCTTCTTCAACAAATACATGTACAGTGTATATTATATTCCATTGTTCACATTGTGTTAGCTGTTTTCAGTTTAGAGACATAGAGTCCACATGTACAGATGCATCATCATTCCCCGTCTCCTCGGTCCAATCACCTCTGATGAAGCAATACATGTCCACATCACCAGGAAGATGTGACCTGTAACCTACAGCCACTTTTCTTAGCAATCTTTCAACGTCTAGCCAGAGTCAGCAAGTTGTGGCCTTTTTTTGTTATAGGATTTAGATGGCAAAATACAGTGAAAAAATTAACTTCATTAAACTCTGTATTTAGTTGAACTTCATTATATCTTAATCTGTATTGAAAGGTGCTATTCACTCTGTGTCTTTTGTGTGTTATAAAGTTAACTATCCTTTTATGAAATATGAGATAAAATGCACATAAGTAAAGAAATATTTAGATGTTATACTATACTTCTGTAACACTTTTCACAGTAATCAATACCCGCAATAACACTTTTAATGAAAACAAGTATAATATCTTATTTGACATAACTGCGATTCATTCTGTTTCAAAGATTACGATGTCATTTTAATTAAAGTGAATTTTTTGAAAACAAAAATGTAAACATACACACGATGATGTTTTTTTGTATTTCATATTGTGATATCTTGTAAAGAAGTAATTTTATTCAAATATTCACTTGGTGATTGTGATAATTCACTTGCACTGAAAAAAAAAACATTTTACTGAATAAATTGATGTGATCTTCAATGAAAAGTGCATTTAAAATTTCATTTTTTGTCATTTAAGATTTAATCATTGATTTTTGACAATATAATGTCCAAGTTGTATATGTGTTAAGTCTCTGTGTGTACCCATGTTGGAGGGAGATAGCGTATGTGGATATTACACATTGGAGTTTTGCATTTATGAAGGATTGGAGGAAATTTTGAGGCTTTGTAATATGTAAGGTAAATCATTTATATTTTGCTAACTGCGTGTTTGTGATGACTTGTATGTGGTATTTTTTTCACACAAGTTTCTTTAAACTTTTTAAAAGTGAACTAGTGTTGAAGAAACACCATACACAACAGCCACTAGTTTGGCTTTTTGTGTCCTGTTTCAACCCCAAAAGAAATCTGCTACCACGTGTGGTATAAAAGTTGGACAAGAGTTGGAATGATGAATCAATTTCTTTAAAATCTACCTTGTTCTTTAATAATAGCAGGATATTGTCCAAATTTGGTATGAAGCATGTTTGGATGAAGGGAAGTTAGTTCTGTATAAAAGGTTGGTCTGTGCTCCCTGGGGCCAAAGGGATGGACCCAATAGGGAAAATCTATTTCTTTAAAATCTGTCTTGTTCTTTGGCAATTTCAGGACATTGTCCAAATTTGGTTTGAAGTGGGGCCAAATAGTTGAAATCGACCAAACGCTTTAAAATCATTCTTTCGTTGGAACTGAAATCATCTTTGGTGAAGAGAGCCATAAGTGCATCTAACTCCCTTTAGGAGAAGAGGCGAGCCTGTTAAGGGGGAAATAGATACAGTGTTTTAAATACTTCTGCTTCAGTTGAAATAAATCAATTTTAGCCAACTAAACCAGGTGAGCGATATAGGCCCTATGGGCCTCTTGATAATGTGTATGTCATTTCCTGAACGATAAATGATCAAAATTCGTTTTTTATGGTTGGAAGTATTATATCCAATTGTGTTGCTGTGTGTTTTAACAAGCATCTCCGGACCTGAACGTTTCTGTTTACAATATATTCGCTAGTGTAAATGCATTCATTGGTGTATATTTGTCAGTACACATCAAAATACCGACAGACGAGATCACCAACGTGTCTTTAATTTGTTTACTATGTAGATAATCAAACCTGATTGATTATGGGGACCCCATACAATATCAAACGACCATGGGTGAATATGAAGCTGGAACGCCGGTACAAATCCATGAAGCACATTTTAAGAACAATACGTCAAAATGAAAGAAGAAATTGATAAATGGAAGACGAAATCATAAAAATTGATCAAGTTTCTAGTTGACAACATCTTCGTCAAGTGTGGTTGCGAGATCTTTGGGAACTAACTGTGCCCCTCCGTTGGCTGACTTGTTTTTTTTTTATTATTTCATACGAGGCTGAATCTATCGAAGAGCCTAGTAAAGCATGTCGCAAAGACCTTGCAAAGTCGTTTAATTTCAATTTCAGATATAACGATGACGTCTTGTCTTTGAATAACAAGATCATTTTTTACCTAACCCGTAGTATATATATATATATATATAAGAATTGGCAGCCAAGGGCACATCATCAGACTCTAATCTCGATCTTTTCCTTCAGCGAAACCAACATGGACAGATTTCCACGAAGCTGTTTGATACGCGTGATTATTTCAATTTCCGTATTGTGATTTTTCCTTTCTGGTTAGCAACGGACTGCATCCGCAGCCTAAGGCGTTTTCATGTTGCAGTTGATTCGATATTCAAGGGTCTGTTCCAATTATCACGATTTTCCTGCAAAAATCCATCAACTGATGGACAAACTCGGGTTTTTTTAAAAAATGAAGGTTGATGAAAATTATGGGGAAGTTTTACGGTCGTCATAGTGATCTTATCGAAATATATTCTATTTGTTTATGCGATATGAAGCTGGACGTGTTTGATGCTACTTAGTTTGCCTGGTGATTCCGTTATCGTACATACCCAGTTCTCATTTGCTAACGTGGCATTACTTACTTGATCAAGGTTTACATGGCGGTTCTCCATGAAGTAGAAGACGTTTACTCTTCCCCAACCCATTCTTGTTCTCCTTGTACAAATTTAAATTTGAGTTTGTTGACTGGCGGGTGTTTTCTTGTTTT